GGTGCTTAAGAGGACACGCTGGCTAAATGCTGCATATCCTAATGGACCTGCGGTGGGAAGGACAGGAGGAGCACTCGGGACATCTGAATAATGCGTAGACTTTAGTTCATAACAAAATGCGTTCTTGCTTGGACCTTCATGCACCCCATAGCTCATGTGTTAGGCATTGCAGGGATGTTCAGGGGTGAAAAGATGAGATTGTGAGAGAAGACTCCTCACCACCCATTTGACGGTGGTAACTGTAGGCCAGTAGGGCCTGGCTGGGGAAGTTGGTCACTGGGGTTTCTGTCCCTGGTTTCTCTCTTCCTCTCTGTCTCTCTCTGTCTCTCTGTCTCTCTATCTCTGTCTCTCTCTGTCTCTCTCTCTGTCTCTCTCTGTCTCTCTCTCTCTCTCTCTCTCCTTCCTGACTGCCCTGAGTTGGGCAGCTTTCCTCCACCACCACCTTCTGCCACCATGTTCTGCCTCACTTCAGGCCCAGAGTTGGCTGAGCATGGTCTGCAAACTCTGAAAACTCAGTGAACCCAGAATAAATGTTTCCTCCTCTCTGTTGTTGTTCTTGGGTACTTAGGTCACTGCGATGGAAAGCTGACCAACCCACGTGCCATGTTAATGTAAGATGTCAGTAACAGGGAAGACTGGGTGGGCCACATGGAAAGTCTCCGCGGGTCCCCACTGTTTCCTGGACGTCTGGCACTGCTGGAAGTGCATGGTTCCTTCATTCTTTCTCAGCTGACATTGCCCTTCTTGAGCATTCATCTATTTCACTGTTTCCTGCCTTCCCATGAGTTCAACCTCTTCTGAACACTCATATTGCCTGATGCTGACTGCTGGGCTGGTCATTTCCAGGAAGTTACTGGCAGAAGCCGTGCCCTTCTCAGGCTCACCCATCCCCCTGTGCTCAAGACAATATCTAGCATGGGGTGTGGGTCCCATCAGTTATGTGCACCTATGCAGAATCAAGTCTGCAGTCGAGTAAGTACAGCCCCTTGTCACAGCAATTCAGTGACAGATCCAACAGTAGAGACCTTACTTGCTTAAATTCCAATTTATTAAATTTTTCATTAAACTTACATTACGAAATAATAAGCTTGCTGGATCACATATAGGAGCAAATAGTTTATAACTAACGCAGTTACTTGAGATGTTGTCAATTTATTTCCTCGTTGATATTAACCTTATTAGCTGTTTTCTCAAATAGAAATCAGTCCTTTTCCAGGGGGAAAATGGATGTCAAAGGAATATTGTCCTTGATGTACTGAACACCACTTTTTATAAGCAGATATTTTCACTTAAAGAATTTTGTAGATTGAGGAATTGTGTCATTTTATGAAATGTCTTTGCTCATTCTCCTATTTTTTAGTGTGGAATACCTCTTACCAAACTTAAAGTAATTTAGTAGTATACATCAGTGCAAACTTGAACATTTGCTCATTGACATGCAGAAATTATTCAGAGCAGAAAACTGCAAGCCTGTTTTTCCTGAGTGACAAGAACCTCCAGACTCCTTTTTTTGGAGACAAGTTCATTTGTTTTGGACTGTAGGGCACTATTTGGGGTACTGCGGCATTATCCTAACAAACGGTGTGCAAGCTTCTTGAAAGAATAGCTCATGTGTGGGGAAAAAAAAGGAACAACTTTCTTCTTTTGGTCAGAATAAGGCCAGAAGTTTTCTATTATTTTTTAGATATTAGGGAAAACCATTAACAAATAAGCAGTTGTTTATCAACATGTTACCAAACATCACGCTTTTGCTTTTGTTGACTCTGTATGGTAGCTTTAGTTTGTTATGTAACCCAGAGTATAACCAATTGACCAGACATCCCTGACGAAAGCTGGTAAGAGATGCTGACAGAAGGTCTTGAGGAGTGTTCAAAGCTGAGTGTGCACTAGACTGAGACCATGGAAACCCAGAGGGTCACAGATGTCAGGAAGGGGACTTGCTCCCACTGCAGGCTTTTCCTTGGAGACCTCACAAAGGGTCACAGAGAACAAGAAGGAAAAGCCAGAGAGCGCTTCACCTGGGTGCTCTCCTGGGGAGGAGAAGTAGATGCCATCACTGGAATTCTGCTCAGACCCTCTTCCTCTGCTCAGCCAAGGAACAAAGGCTTTCTCTGCAGGAGGAAAGGCAGTGAAACCACAGGCTGAGGGCACTGGCAGAAGTTCACAGAGGATAGCGGAAAGAAAACAAGAAAATAACAGCTCTACCAGGTGATGCAAAGAAGTACTTGGTAGATCCAACATTAATCCATTTTCCAAGAAGGGGAACATCTATAAAGATTCAAACAATGTATTTAATATATACCATAAGTGTATAATGTATAACATAATTATAACAAATAGTATTATAATATTAATATATCAATATATATGAGCTCTAGATTACTATATCCAATTTGTTTTAAAGCACCTGTGTGAAATTTTTGAAATACTTGTAGAATTGAAACCTTGGGACGTACTGGGTTAAAGCTGGGGGCTGTAATACTTTAAGAACCACACCCTGAATCCAGGATCACAGTGTCTGTCTAAGACTAGACGTAATCAGAGAATCAGAAAATGTCCTTTTCCACCCACTGTAACAGCATGCTAACAAAGATGGAGAATAAATTACACTGGGATACAGCTGGGACAGAGGCAGAGTCTCTCTGGGTAGCAGAGCAGATGGAAGGTCTGGTGCCAAGCAGAGAGACCCAACACAACTCTTGACTGTATTTGCACAAACCCCATACTAAACGCTTAGCATAAGGAAAGCTGTGCTCACGTCTAAGCATTAGAAAACATGCCCGGTAGTTGACATACATATGCCCAGCTTGTAACAAAACGTGTTATGACGTGTAAAAAGAGGCAAAGAAAAAATACAATCTAAAAATCATCAGAACTTATCTCAGATATATTCTATATGTCTCTCTTTATAAAACATCACTTCTACATGGAAGTATGAGATGTGGTATCAAAGTAACTGTTATTAATATGTTTTATGAACTGGGTGCATGCTTCCCCCAAATGCATACGTTGAAGCCCCAAGTCCCAATGTAATGGTGTTGGAGGTGGGGCTTTGAGATGTGGTTAGGGTTAGATAAAGTCATGAGTGTGGGCCTCCATGATTAGATTAGTGTCCTTGTAAGACAAAGAAGAGACCTGAGTGCTTTATCCTCTCAGTTCCCCACCACCTCTCTCTCCCCCCATACAAAGGAACAATGAGAAGAACGCCATCTACAAGCTAGGAGTATGTTCCCTACCAGAAATCACATCTGTCAGCACCTTGTAACAAAACGTTATGACGTGGATTCATCAGCCTCAAGAATCATGAGAAAGAAATCTTTCTTGTTTAATCCACCCAGTCTATAATGTTTTATTACAGACGGCCAACATGACTAAGACATCATGTGAAGGACTCCAATGAAACCGTAGACGATATGCAAGATCAAAGGGGCAATTCTGCCTGAAGATGGAAACTGTAAGAAACAATCACATGGGAGTGCTAGAGACATAAAACACAGTACCAGAGATGAAGAATTATTTCAGTAGGCTCAAAGCCGATACAAAAAAATGTGAAACAAAAACAGTGATCACAAAGATGAGCCTATAGAGGATATCAACTTAAAACAGTTAAAAAAATAAAAAATGGGATCTCAGATATCAGAATAACATTAAATAAATATCTGAAGAAGAGTAGACAAGCATTATATGAAATTATTTACAGATACTAATCTACACAATGGAGAATATTCAGCAAAACAAAGCACCAAAACACAAATGAAGCAAAACCCAAACCAAAGTCAGAATAGCTATATTAATTTCAAGTAAAATAGACTTCAGAATGAAGAATTCTTCAGGGATAACTCTACAAGGAAACCAAGAATTCTAAAATAAATCCTTATATAAACTATCAATTTTGACAAGTATTTGTAGGCAGTGGTTGTAAGGAACATGTTTCCAGTATAAATGTTGAAACGTTCGCATTCTGTGAGCTGTGTTCATCCTTCATCTCTTTCACCATCACGGCCATATTGCTACTATCTAAATCGAGTGGTAACACCAGTATCCCCACCATTATTGGGTGGCAAGCCAACAATTTTCATTTTGTCACTTATTCATGTTCATTTCCCACATATCCCATAGCACATTCCATTCCTTCAGGAAATATTTCCTACACGAGTGTTTTTAACCAGGGCATTTTATTTTATCGAATTAGTGTATTTAAATCATATTTAACTTGATGTAAAACTAGTTTTCTTCACCAAATGTTTCCTTCACTTCTTTGAAAGAATCAACTATCTTCTTTCAACCACCATTTTGTATTTCGAAGTCTCAAAGCTCATCCTTTTTAGGAAATCAAGTCTGTATTGAAAGCCTTAGAATTCTATTTTTGTCTTTGTTCTTAAATTTTATTCTAAGAGATCCAGTGTGGGTTTTTGAAATCTCTGTGTCCCATACAGCAATCTATGCCATTTTGTAATCTGAGCTTTCCAACTTTCTTTAGCTGGGGGAACTCTCATTTGTTGTGGTGGCTCTAATGAATGATTATGTATTTATGTTTGAGGTCAGAGTTTGCAGTCTAGGTGCTGCAGAGCTGAAGGGCCTCAGGGCTGCCAGCTTCTGGAGACCTGAACACATGGCCTGTGGTCCTCCTCTCACAACTGTGTCCTCTTGGAAAAATCATCCTTTCTCTTCCACACTCAGATCTCCTGGCCTCTCTGTGGTAAGGACACGGGGACCACATTTAGGGTCCACCCAGACAATTCAGGATAATCCTGCATCTCAAGGTGCTTGATTTAGTCAGATCCATAAGTCCCCTTTTCCAGGTGAGGATCAAGATGTGGACTCTGGGGACCCTTGATCCTATTGCATTGTTGATTGCAAGTTGCTCCTTGTCACTGTCTTTGTTTGGAGAGATGTGCGGAAGGTCAGCTAGGTTGGGATTTTATAGCTGTTATCTTCACTCGCTGTGACATTAGAAATAATCAGAACCTGCCAGTAAATCCATGGTGTCTTGCTTTTCCTTGTTCTCTGACACCATTTGCTCACCCTTCTCTTTATTCCTCCTTAGCCTGAAGCTTTATCACCAGGAAGGGCTGCGTTCTCTGATCCAGTGACTTGCCCACTCTCTCACTTTTCTCCTTTTTCTGTTTCAGAGTCTTTCCTAATCTCTTCCTCTCTCTGGGACACAGAGTCATCTCTTTAAGGCACCTGGATTTTAAGAGAGAGAGGAGAGAGGTGGAGAGGGAGAGAGAGAGAGAGAGAGAGCAAGAGGGAGAGGGAATAAAAGATGAAGGAAGGAAGGGAGAAAGGAAGGAGGGCAGGAAGGAGGAAGGAAGAGATGAGTCGAGGGGAGGGGAGCCTTTCATTCCAGGAACCTCATTTCTCCTGTCTGCCATAAACATTCGCTGAGACCACGGAGCATATTGTTGGACCATCTGCTTGAATCAAGAGAAAGGAAAAACCGGGAGAAAAGACACAAACTACTCTCGGCAGTTGGAAATAACAGATCTGAATTTAAATCTAGGTTCTGCCCTTGCTGACTGATTCAAGGCTTCCTGTGTAAAACAAGAATAATGATGCCTACTTCACAAGGGATGTTAAAAAAAATGATGAGCTAACTTCAAAGTATCACGCAAATGTAAGTTATTGTTTCTATACAGATGGGGAAAAATCATTAACTTCTTCATTATTTCTGGTGTCTTTTTCCTGGTTGTTTTTGATTTGTGATATAGAAAATTGTAAAAGGCAAAAGATTTATAAGATCTGAAGGGAAACCAGAGTAAATTGTGACTGATTGAGTTGGGAAATGTGTTTTGTTCTCTTTTAAAATTGAGCAGAACATACTGTTCTAAAGCCACGTTTTAATTTTCATGAAATAGCAATGGATTGACCTCTGCTAGATTATTCTGCTGCAAAGCTCTGTGAGACTGACCTCAAGGAGGCAATTGATTTTTTCCTAGCTGCTCGCGAAGCCTGTTAGGCAGGTTCACTGCAGAGTGCATGGCTGCATGGAGAGCCGCTGGCCCTTTTTATGACTGGTGATGTGAAAAGGTTCATTAGCTCCCAGGACCTACACTATGCTGACATCCAGACTGAGGGGCCAGGTAGACCCTGAGCAGGCTTTTTTCTTTCTGCTTATTAGAACCTTTTAATGGGTAGTAAATCAGCACCTCCATTGGTCTGCTCTGGAATCCTTTCCCAGGGAGCAAGGGCACTAGTGAGCTGCGGTTCCCCTCTTCAGTATGACTGTTACAAGCCCACAGTGCACAGGAAAAGAAGCTTTGGAGAGATGTGCGGAAGGTCAGCTAGGTTGGGATTTTATAGCTGTTATCTTCACTCGCTGTGACATTAGAAATAATCAGAACCTGTCAGTAAATCCATGCTAAACTATCTAATGTAAATATTTTCCCACTTAATTGCAAATACCTTTCCTATGTTTCAGCTTGATTTTCTTTTAAGCAAAGGAGGACTGGGGAGATTTTTTAGTTTAGCAGCATTCCCAGACAGAAAAATCAGTTAAGGGCTGAGAAGCCTTTTTTTTTTTTTTTTTTTCTCTCCTTACCTTGTCTCCGAATTTTGGGTGAAGTACAGTTAAAATTCACCAGTGACATGGGAGCTCTCTAAATAGGCAAGTTCTCCTCCAGCAGCTTTTGTGTTCATGCATGAAACAGATTCAAAGAGCCTGATACTCCTAGGGACTCTGGTGCTCTCACTTTTGTCCTGAGGGTGAACATTTTATTCACTTTTTAGACTTTATTCTTTTCAAATTATATAAGTAGTGTGTATGCTTTGGAAAACTAATATGTACAGGATAATATAAACTAAATTTTTAAAATTTATATGGTATAGATTCTCAAACATATTTATATGCAAAAAATATGTGTACAAAAAACGGCTCATTGTTTCCCTTATACTAGAAACAGCCTTTCTGATTATTGAATACACACATCTGTAGCATCATTATTAATGGGTATCTATCAGCGAACTGTGTGGATTCTATAACATATCTTTAAGAAATGTCCTGTTGACTTCAGCTTGATTTTCTCCTTCCTTCTTCCTACCCTTTCCTTATTATTTTTGTAAGTTAAACATCAATGCATTAAATATCTACAAACATAGAAATCAGGTATATTATGTAGGCACATTGTTGGAGTAGACTCTGGTTGAAATCCAACTTCACTCTGTAGAAAAAGTCCAGATATTGACATGTTTCCTAAATCAGCTGTGGCCTCTAGTTCTTCCTGAGCGAAGGGAGATGATACTCATTGGGTTCCATTAACACATGGAATGCAGTGAACCTGGAAATCATGGCCATCAGGCACAATGCAGCATGTGGTCACCTGTCTGTCTAAGCATTCCCCTGGGATGACACCTCAAAGTAGAATTGCTGCTTTCAAGGGCTCTGTGCTTGGAGAATTACTGGATGCATATCACAGAGCTCCAGCAAGTCTGCTGAGTCAAGTAATGAATAGTGTCTTCAGGTGTCAAGTTTCACCTAAACACCAGGTATTTTGTTGAAAATATTTTTAGTAAAAATATTCTCATTATTAATCATTATTAATTTCCATTCTTTGGTTACTAGTGAGATTGCGTTTTTTTTCTCTACAATTCCCATATGTTTGTTGAATATCTGTATTTTTCCTCTAGCAGCTTTTGTATCCATGCAGCAGCCTGTTTTCCTGCTGATAACACCTCTAAAAGTAGCAAGAATTATAACCACTTTTGTGATATGAAATGCAATTTTTTTCGGATTTTCATTTATGTGTCACCCTGTTCATGTTTAATTTTGCAGGGTTATGCACGTTTGAGGGCATTTCTGTTATTCAGTCTCCTTTCCCTGTAGGGTTCCTGCCAGTGGGATCCTGGTTGGGAAGCGCGACTCCATCCTCTGGGAATCCGAAGGCGCGTTCGCTGGCTGGTTGTATTGTGTTTGTCTGTCATTGTGGGAAGATTCCAAAATGTGATATACCTAAGCCAACTATACTAAATATTGACGTGAGTGCCCAAAGACTGCTGTGGTTTTACGGATCAATAATTAGTAACAATGTTCCCAAGTGGCTTTGGCTTTGACTTTTCCTCAAGGCTTACTGCCTGTTATCAGTCAAGATAACTCAGACTTGTTCCAGCGTCTAGCTGGGCCCATTCCCTATTCATGTCACCTAGATTTTAATAGAATAGAAAGCAGCAGAAATATTTCCATAACACCAAGAGATATTAAGCTATATTTTCTTCCCCACATTATTTTTAGTATGCAATTAAAATCTTTATACAAATACTATTTGATCAAATTAATAGGAAAATCTCTCTATTTTTTACTTTTTAAGTTGGCTAATTGGCTCAAAAACAAAACAAAAAAATACCCATTTGTCCTTGACTTGAGATCACACTGATCCTCATCTTTGCTGAATATTAAATTCTGCTTTTATTTTTAGACTTGTCCTTTATATTCTGATCCAATGTCTGGTTGCATTGGCTGCTGTTGTTATTGAAGTTTTATGAAATGGAGATGACGATACTTCATTTGTCAGGAATTCATTTGTGATAGAAGTCAAAGATATGGATGCTGGATGCCAGTTGATGTTGTGGCTTCCAGGAAACAGTCTTATTCCCAGAGACAAAAGACACATGTGTGTTTGCTTTTCTGAACAACATTCCAATTAATTTTTTTATGTTTATAGATTTTGCAAGGATATTCTGCATTGCAATAAAGACACAATAAATCTTCCTTTATTTAATTTTAATTACTACAGAAGGGATCTCCTTTCTAGTTTAGTAACTTTTTTGATATTAATATTATATTGTACTAACATTATGGAATATTTTAATATCATGACTTTTAGACATTAATATCATGATATTTGTACACATTTTTCAGAGCATATTTTAATCTCTTAAGTCATCTTTTAAACAGATTTTAGTATGACCTGAAACTAATTATGTTTTCCTTAAACTAGGTTGAATCTGCCTTAGATTTAATTTCACTTTCTATCTCAACCTGTGTGTTAGTCAGGGTTTTGTCACTGTGACAAATGCCGGAGAAAAATGACTTCAAAGAGCAAAGATCCTTGTGGCTCTTGGTGCCGGGATCAGCCCAGGGTCATCTGGCTCCATTGCTCTGGTGAGGCAGAGCCCCCTGGTGGCGGGGCTGGAAGAGGTTAAAGCAGAGAGAGAACCAGGGACAACGCAGAGCCCCAGAGAGCCCCCAGCCTGCAGTCCCCTCTCTGCCCGCTGCGGTCCCTCCAGCTGTAAATGGGTGCTGCACTGAGGAAGTCGGAGCCCTGAGATCTGACTGCTGGCCGGAGCCCCACCCCGAACCCTGCTGCCTGGGGACAAGCCTTCAACACGTGCCTTTGGGGGACCCCCCAGATCCAAGTGCTGGTGGCCTGGATTAGTGGTTCTGTCCTGGTTAAGTCCCACACCCTGTCATCCTCTTCTGAGTGGCCCTTGTTCATGGGAGTCAGGACGGGTTCCGCCTGGGCTGACTCTGCCCATGTGGTTGTTTTGCTGATGATATGAGTCTCAGGTTTCTCTGAAAATGAATTTTATGTAAACCAATAGAGGATTTTACAACCAAGCAGTTGTATTTGAATTTATAAACTGGTACCATCTTTCTTTCTGTGTGAAACTGGGGATAACTTAAATTATTCAAATCTGATTTATTTATCTTTAAAGTGGGAATACTATTTAATTTTCAGTATTTTTGTGAGGAATAATTGAAATAAAATATGTAAAAGCACCTTGTAGAATACAAAACTTGATTCAAAAAAAATGGTTAAGTAATTTTCCTCTTATTCTGAAAAATAAAATAAGTTACACCATTGAGAAGATTGGATAATTTAGTTTCATTGGATCACTAAATCAATTTAAAGATACTTGATACTGTTATAGAGATTTGAAGTTTTCTTTGTAGTTAATTTTTTTTTTTTGAGAAATTGAAATTCTGAGGTGGATGCTATTTCTAGTTCTTTTCTTGCCTGAGTTGAATTTTGGATAAAATCGATATCTGTGGTGCTCTTTTTAATTGGCGTTATTAATTAATTTTTTAATTATTAATAAATTAATTTTTAATGTTACTAAAAATTTTTAAGTTAGCTAACTCCTAGGTGAAGTAAAACAGGAACTTTCCCTTAGATTTATGCTTTGTAACTTAAACTCCTAAACAATTTCAGTATTTCAGTTTTTTTCCCTGCAAAATAGGCCTCAAATACCTGTTAAATAGCAAAGTCTTTCACTTTGTTAAATATTAAACTTTACAATTTAGGGTTTGTTCATGAGACAATGCAAGTTTCTCAGATTAAGAAAATGTTACTTATTATAGGAGGTTATAGATTTATGAGGCTCTGTGACATTGGGGAGAAAAACATCCATCTTTCTACAAAGTAGCTTGCTGAGTCGTAAAGACCATGAACTTGGACAGCCAAAGACCCATGGTTGCCCCCCCCCCCATCTCTCTCCCTCTCCCACTTCCTCTCCTTCTTTTTCTCTCCCCCACCTTTGTCCCTCTCTCTCTTACTTACCTTTCTTTATCCCTCCTTCCTCCTCTTTCTTTCCCTTTTTCTCTTCTCTGTGTCTTTTTCTCTTTTTGCCTCCCTCTCTCTCTGTCTTGTGCCTCTCTATCTGTTTCTCTCTCTCTGTCTCTCTCTTTCTCTCTCTCTTTGCCTCTCTCTGCCTCTCTCTCTGTGTGCCTCTTTCTCTTTGACTCTCTCTGTTCCTCTCTCTCTCTCTCTGTTTTTCTATGTCTCTCTCTCTATGCCTCTCTCTTTTTATCTCTCTGTGCCTCTCTCTATGTCTCCCTCTCTGTCTCTGTCTCTGTCTCCCTCTGTCTCTCTGTCTCTCTCTGTCTCTCTCTCTCTCCCTCCCTCTCTCCTGCCCCTCTTGCTCTCACCCACACAGGCAGCAGGAGACTCAACTTCGTACCTGTGTTTCCTGCCAGGCACTATTGCTCAGCATCTGTGGTGTTATTGTGCTCCAGTCTAGTGGTGGGATCTATATGTACTGGATGAGTTTCGCCCAGTCTCTAGGATTAATTTTAACTGTATATGGAAGACATTTATTCCATCTAACTCTACAGCATAAATATTGCTTTAAGTAGAACAGTGCTTATTTACCCCATTCTGAGAACTTGGCTTCTGTATCATGTCCTGCCTTAGGACATTTTCTGGTCTCCAAGTCCTTCTCTGACTGGGCTCCACTTCATTCTAATGTTATACTTTTCCTCTTTTTCCTCTTGCCACCACCATTCCCTGCCTCCACCCAGAGGAGGTAGGGAATGACATCAGGAATGTGCATGCCAGCCAGCCCACATGGTGGCCTGTGGCTGCACGTTCCTGATGTCATTGGCAAAATCATGCATCATGTCTCTGCCACTCACAACATCTTCATCACTCAAGTCCTAACATGAACTGGATAGGGACAGCCATTAAACATTTCCCTACACGCTGGGGGTGTGGATGGGACATGACCTCATTCTCTCTCTTGCTGCTACACTTTAGTGTGTACTGTGGTTCCATTTTTTGTCCCTTTCCTGTTCTGCCTAGTTTGTGATGCTCTACCTGATTCTGCAGTATAGGCACATTTTAAACATTGCTTCTTGACATCTAGTTTTTAGTTTTGCCAATGAGTATTTTATTACCCTGAAGACACATTGATCTATAAAAATAAAATTGCATTCCTACCATCAGAAGGAAAATTGTCATCTTTGAAGTATCTTACACAGGGTAGTCATGGGATGCTACAGTAGACTTTCTTTGATACAGCATTTAGATACAACATATAGATAGAGCATTCAGGATTTAGAATGTATCACCTAGCACATGGTAAAATTGCAATTAATTACTAGATGCATAGTGGAACTATCTAGAACTTCTGTCTTCAGGTCTGCTATGTAAAGAACTTGGAGATGGCCCCTCTTTGTTCTTATGATAAAGCAAAAAGTAAAGAAACAGAGTATAAAAAACCTTTTGTTGAATTCCTCAGAGAACTGAGATCTCAGGGAAAATTGACACTCAACACTCTGGAGTGACAGGCAAATCCAGAATTATAGTTGAGATTTACTTACTAGGAGCAAAAAATTAAGCACAGCTCATCTCCTAACAAGAGAATAAAACTTCACCCTAATGATTTTTACCTTACATCATATTATGCCATATTTTTGTCTTTATTTGGATGAAAAATTACAAGACACAATAAAAGGCAAGGAAACATCAGAGCTAAACACAGATAGAATTATGAGACAGAAAGTTTAAAATCTATGATTAATATGTTGAGTACTCACATGGAAGAAAATAAGACATCATACAAGAACCAATGAGCAAAATGAAGAGTATAATAGGCAAAATGATGGAAAATCTAATAAAAAAATTTAAAATGCCAGATTTTTTTTTTTTCAAAATGGGAGAGGTTGTATTCATCAGTAGACTGGCCATCGCTCAGGAAAGACTGGAGTTATCGTGAAGATGTGTCAGTGTGAGCTCCCCAAGCTGCAATGCAGAGAGGGAAAGAAACAGAATCACCAGGAACTGGGGGCAGTTTCCAAGAAGCGTGTGACACACAGTAACCGGAGCCCCCAGAAGAAGGAGAGTACAGAGAATAAAAAATACCCGAATAATAAGGAAGGGCCAAGAAATTTTCAAAATTAGTGATGGGAACTCTACTACAGAACCAGGAAGCCCACGAGAACAGCACACAGGCCAAGTACCAAATTCCACATGCAGGCTGGCATGTCCAAACTTCAGGAAATCACAGAAAAGGAGGAGACCTTGAAAGAAACCAGGGGAAAATGAAGCAGCTAACTACAGGATAAGAAGGATAGGCACTATACTGGACTTGTCAAGAGGAACCAGGTAAGCAATTAGAGCCTGGGTAAAGTATTTAAAATAGTGAAAGAAAAATGATCTCACTAACCTAGACTTTTATATCTAGCAACAGTATCCTTCTATAGTGAAAGAGAAATAAAGATTTCCCGAGAAAAACAAATATAAAGATAATCCATCAAG